CCTCCTCTGAATCTTATTAAGCAGTGCACATTCTCAGTGTGTGCAGTCATCATGTTGGATCATAGTGGCAAACATGTCTTTTTTTATAATGGACACAAGTCATGCATTTCCTATATACAGTTTTAAGAGGTAATGATACTTCCCACCCTCCTGTCCCTCCCTCCTTCACTCCCACCCTCCCTCCTCCTTCCTTATTTTTCTTTTTTTACTTTCAATTTACCTTAGAATCACAAGCTTAGCCCTCCACTAAATAAAGAATTCAGCAACTGGTAAGTAGAAAAACCTCAAGAGTATAGTCCAGGGCTATAAACAATAATCAAATCTCAAAATGTCAGTTCACTCATAAATATTACATTTCTTTTTGTAAACCTGTCTCTCTTACAGGCAGAGTTAGACAGTGAGAGAGACAGAGAGAAAGGTCTTCCTTACGTTGGTTCACCCCCTAAATGGCTGGTGTACTGCGCTGATCCGAAGCCAGGAGCCAGGTGCTTCTCCTGGTCTCCCATGTGGGTGCAGGGCCCAAGCACCTGGGCCATCCTCCACTGCTTTCCCCGGGCCACAGCAGAGAGCTGGACTGGAAGAGGAGCAACCGGGAGAGAATTCGGTGCCCCAACCGGGACTAGAACCCGGGGTGCCGGCACCGCAGGTAGAGGATTAGCCTAGTGAGCCGCGGTGCCGACCATAAACCTGTCTTATAGATGTGCTTGTTTTCTGTGTTTCCATAACAGGGTCTGACAAAGCTGGAATGTTCTACCCTGGTAGATATATGCTGTGTTAGTACTTTGAGCAAATTCCACTCATTGGGGAATATAAAAAAAGAAAAACAAGTCTATTTCTGTTCATTCACACATAGTAGGTGCTCAATAAGTAGCTATTGAACTAATGAGTAAAATAAATGATGCAGAAGCTCTTTTAAATGTAGGATCCATAAAACTCAGTAATGGCATTGATGGATGATGGAGCAGCTGAAGGTGTTCAAGCCATACCACCCACACAGCAGTCCCTGGATAACTTGGGAGGCAGGACCTTCTCAACTGTCAACTCCTGTGTCCATAGGGGTGTCAGTCTGGATGAGGGTGTGTGTTGCAGCATGTCTTATAACAGCAAAAACATCATCAACAGCAAAAAAATACTTTGGTGGGGGCAATGCATAAATAAATGGTGGTATATCTATAAAGTGAAAGAAATGATTATAATGAATAAATTAGATGTTTAACTACTAATATGGATTTTTTTTTTGGAAGTCAGAGTTCCAGAGATAGAGGGAGAGACAGAGACAGAGAGACTTCCATCTACTCCCCAAATGGCTACAATAGCCAGGGCTAGACCAGGCTGAAGCTAGGCGCCAGGAGCTTCATCCAGGTCTCCCACATGGGTAGCAAGGGCCCAAGAATTTGGGCCCATCTTCCATTGCTTTTCCCAGGCCATTAGCAAGGAACTGGAGCAGCTTGGAAGCAGAGCAGCTGGGAAACATACCAGTGCCCACCTGAGATTCAGGTATTGCTGACTGAAGCTTTACCTGCTACGCTGGAATGCTGGCCCTAAATATGGTTAGATCTTGAAAATTTAACAGTAGATTTAAAGGCAAGTTACAGTAGGAACCATGACAAGTTAACCACTAAATACACGACATATATTGTTTTTTATCATATACACAGAGAATAAAAATGTAAAAACATACACAGGAATGAAACACAACCACCATGCTTCCTGGTTGCCTCTAAGGAAGAGGATGTAGAAGGAGATGATGGAACTTCCAAGAGATGTCTCTCTTTTTTGTAAACAGCCATTGTGGTGAGAGAGAAGTATATATTATTTCTAAGTGGTGGATATTTGCTTTTGTCTGCTTGTTTCTGGTGGTTGGGAATAGTTCCTAATTAAAATCCCACAAAAAAACAGGCCAGATGCCTGGAGAGTGGTCTTGCACTTCTGCATGTCATCCTCTGGGCAGGATATTCCCACCATTCCAAGCGGCCTGGCGGGCAGTGCCGATCGCACCTGCTGCTGAGGACCCAATGAGCCTTCACCCCATTGAAAACCTTCGATTCTCAGCTCAGTCTGCAGAGTCCAATAGAAATGCCATGTCCACCTCCAGGGCCTTCAAAATACTTGTTCATGGCTTTCATTTTTTTTTTTCAAGATTTTATTTATTTATTTGAAAGTCAGAGAGAAGGAACGGCAGAGAGAGAGGTCTTCCATCCACTGGTTCACTACCCAGTTGGCTGCAACTGCCAGAGCTGAGCCCATCTGAAGCCAGGAGCCAGGAGCTTCTTCTGGGTCTCCCACACGGGTGCACGAGCCATCCTCTACTGCTTTCCCAGGCCATAGCAGAGAGAGCTGGATCGGAAGTGGCACAACTGGGACTCGAACCTGCACCCTTATGGGATGCCGGCACTGCAGGTGGCGACTTTACCCTCTACGCCACAGCGCTGGCCCCTCATCATTGCTCATAGCCTCCAGCCACCCCCATCTCTTTTACATATTGGACATCTGACCAGCTTCACTGGAATGCCTTTTTGCAGTCAGATGTAATGAAACTGGTTTTTCACACGTTTGATGACAGTCTCTTTTTTGAATCAGTCACTAGTGACGCACCTGGCTGTGTTCTCTTCATTTTTAAATTCACAAAAATCCCTTCCTTTTCTCATCAAAAGACGCAATGACGTAATATTTTGTGGTGAATTTGGTGCTGACATGAGCTTGTGCTGGCTCTGCGGTGCCCAGCTTGGTGTTCAGTAGCGTCACGCTGCTGCCTTCCAGGTAGCCGTGATGGGAGTACTTACACCACAGAAATTGGCAAGTGCTAGAAATCGGGTTTTCTTTCTCTCCAGCAAGAGCTGAAAGCTCAGTGTCACAGCCTGCCACGAGGTGGCACAGCGGCCCTCTACAGTATGTAGGGAAAACCTCACAGGACCCATTTGATGCATGTAAAAAGTGCGAAGTGGGGAAAAAAAGGGAACTCTTGCCAAGAGTCCTCAGGCTCTAAAGGGGGCACTGCTGAGGCTCTGGTCTTGGTGCTGGGGTGGAGGCCAGCGTGTTGGAGTCTGAATCTGGGACAGGTACCTTTGACCGTGAAGTAGACAAGTATCTGACTCGGCCCCGTAGCTTCCCCACCTATAAAATAAGCATGGGAAAATCTCTGTTGTAGAGATCTTGGGCAGCATGATGGGGAAACACACCTGCAGAAAAATGGTATCTGTGGGCAAATCCAACAAAGCACAGAGATTCCGCAGGAGGTGAACTGGCCCCTGTGACTTCCAAGTTCAGATCGCTCTGTCTCCTCCTGTTCTTCCCATTGCATCTGTTTCATTTCCTTTCATCCCGACCCACTATCAACTAGATGGAGAACACACTTTTTTGCCAAGTATGTGCCACTCGATTGTGTGACTTGAGGGACTCCATTTCTTTCCAAGAATCTGAGAAACGTTGTACAATGCATCGACTAAGATCGTTCTTCACTGCCTGGAGTTTCTGCACTGATCGTTCTGCTGAGCTCAGCGTCCTGGGCAGGATTGATTGGGAGGCCCCTGGCTGTTACAGTCCCATCCACCACATGACTGCAGTGGCCTGCAGGGAACTTCCCTGGCTCACCGTGTGCTGGGCTGTGGGCTTTCCCGGCATGCTCGGACTGCCGCAGTGGCAGACAGCTGACCTCTGCCATTCAGGCAGGCTAAATATGAGAGTACTTTGCAATGTTCATGGGGAAAAAATGAAATTAGAAGATAAGCTTAGTTGGGTGCACAAGCATTTTGAGGCCCATGCATAGTTTCTGTGAAACACATTTCCCTTGAAAGTTTTGAAGACCCCCAGGTGCATAGATTTCAAAAATCTTTGCACCTAAATCAACCTTTTTTTGAAAGGCAAAGAAATAAAGAAAAAGACAGGAGATCTCCCATGTACTGGCTCACTCCCCAAGTGCACACAACCGACATGGCCAGGTCAGGCTGAAGCTGGAAGCCGGGAACCCCGTCTAGGTCTCCTGTGCCAGGGCAGGGACTCAACCACGTGTGCTGTCACCTGCTGCCTCCCAAGGTGTACACTAACCAGAAGCTGAAATCAGAGTAGAGCCACGACTCGAACGTGGCCATCCCAGCTAGCGTCTTGACCACTGCCCAGATACCCACCACTAAACTTGCCCTGTAATTTCATTTTTCCACATTTTGAAATACTCTTACACTTTTCTCTTTAGGTGTTAATATTCTTTTTTTTTTTTTTGCCTGAGCAATACATTTAGTTGTTTTGACATTTTGAAAAATACAGGAGGTTATGCAATGGAAATTTCACTCCAGATGCCATCCCTCATTCACCCAGGTCTCTCTCTGGGGCAAAACACAGGTGAGAAACCACTGCTCTTAGACAGCACACTGTGTGTCCAAGCAGAGCTAGAATCTTTTATTAATATTATTGTAATATATATATATATTTATATGTGACACAAATCTACCATTTTAAACATGACTTCGTGCAGCCATCACCACTACCCAGACTGTGCCAGGCTCTTGTGCCCATGCCACATGAGCCATGCAACAGCCTCAGAGACCTCTGTTTCTGTATAGGCCCATTAACTCATATGTCCCATGCAAGGCCCATTAAATCATTTGGTCTTGCCCTGCCATGGTAACCACAGGTAAGACTCAAAATTCAATCAATCAATAGCAGGCTAACTTTTAAGTTGATGATTTTGTATGGCCTGTGAATGATTTATAAATACCCAAATGGCCCTTGGCAGAGAAAACGATTCCCCACCCCTGGTCTACAGCCTGGTGCTGAGTAGCTGGCAGAGCCTGGAGTTGAACCCAGGTCTCCATGGCCTTCACGTGGATCCCACTGGTGAGGGCTGGCTGAGAGAACTTCCGAGGAGGACCCAGCAGCCGCGCGGTGCTTGGGTCTCCTCTCTGGGCCAGACATGGTCCCTAAGAGTCCGTGACTGCCGGGAGCCTGCGCCTGGCTCCCTTGTCTCACTGTGGTTCTCCGCTCCTCTGTGCTGTGCTCTGGTCCAGGCGTGATCCTGCTGCTTCTGGATAAGCTGCGGAAGATGAAGTGGGAGCAGATGTGGAGGCTGACGGCAGAGAGGGAGCTCATGGGCATGCTCTCGACGTCCTTGGCTGACCAGGTGAGTGGCCAGGGCGGAAGGAACCGCCAACTGTTCCTGAGTGCCCTGGTTCTGCCAATTGGGAAGCTGGCTACCCACGGGGTGCCTCTGTGTGCATAGGTAGAACTGCCTTACACTTGCCTGTCCAGGAAAACAGCTCGACTCATCGGTGCCTGCAATTGTTCATTAGTAGGCTTTCACAGGATCACCATGTGTAGTGGGAAAACAGGGAGACAGAGATAAATAGAAGACACAGCACTTGGCCTCAGAGAGCCTGGAGTTTATTGAAGCAGACTCATAAATAGATGGCAGCAGATACATTCAGTAAGAGGAAGCTCCCGTCCTCACGGGCCTTGGGGAACGCACTGTGCCTGCTGCCTGAGATCCCAGCCACCCAGTATTTTCCAGACAGCATAGCTCTGGGAAGCAGAGCCTTTTAAAGGAAAGCCTTTCGCCTGGGTCCCCTCCTGTGACGCTGCATTCGGGAGAAACACACTTAATGGAAAAGACCAGCCAAGTGGCTCCAAGAATCCCCTTTGCATCCAGGCAATGTGGGAAAATCATAGCACTCCACCAAGCTCTTAGCCAATGCTCAGTGTATAAAATACATACTTACATATATAGATTCTGATGCTAACTGGGGCATGCAGGGAGCTCACCTCTTGAGATGCTGATCTTGCTGCAGTGTTGGTGGACGGCTTGCCACGGGATGACAACTCCTCTGAGCCCCTTCGTTTTGCCCTTTCGCCTTCATTCAGACAGGGAGCTCACTCCCCAGCTCTCGGTTCGCTGTTCGATTGCCACATCTGTCAACTCCCTGCGAAGTTCTGCAACACAGAGAAAGCCCGGAACTCAGTTAGGGTGACTTGACTGTTTCTTATGCATTATTATTCGGTAGTTCCCAGGCAGCCAGAACCTGATTTCCTTTGCAAACATGACACAGAGCGTAATGAATGCCTTTTTGAAAAAATAATAACACTCAGGGAGCTGAGGGGAAAATTGGCTGCCGCGCTCATATTTTAAGTCGAATCCCACTGACTGGAGCGCGTCCCCCATAGCTGGCAATTGTGTGTCCGTGTCCAGTGAGGGTCGTTTATTCAGCCGTCTCCTGTGCAAAGGCTCATAATTCACCTGCCGGCACCTGCTGTCAGCAGCCAGGTAATAAGCATGGCCCCGTGCAAGGGCTTGGGGAGGAGCCCGAAGGAAGGGAAACTTCCCCAGAGAGTCAGGGCTGGGTTTCGAGGGGGAAGAGGCATACCCTGGGCTCTGTGACCTGCTGCAGTCCCAGGGCATCCATCACTGAATCCACCATCAGCCCCGGGAGGAGCTGCCGGCAGGGAGGAGCTGTCATTTGTCTCAGCCCCCTGGATGAGCAGAAGCACCTGTCATCACATGCTTTCCTCTCCAGGAGGCTCAGGATGGATAGCCCAGGGCTCTGCACGAGGTGGGATGAGGAGAGGCAAAGAAACCTCATCAGTTATGCGCTGGCTAGGGTGGGAAAGGCGCCCCCTGGCTGCCCCACGGGAGCTCGCTGGAAGGTGCGATGTGAGACCAGCAGAGCCTGCAAGCTCACAGCAGCCTGGGGCACCTCCTGCCTCGGTGCCATCAGTATCGCTTGGTTCCTGGAGACGACAGGCAAGAGGAAGGTCCCGTCGCACGAGCCAGGCTGTGTTCAGAGCAGGCGGCTCCTGCAGAACCCTGCCCCAGGAGCTGCGATGCCTCGAGAGAGCCCCCCTCGCTGTCCTGACCATGTCCTTGGCTTTCATTTCCCAGGACATCTTCAACGCTGTCATCAAACAAAACCCCTTCCTCGTGTATCAGCTCCCCTGCTTCTGGAATGTGCAGCTGTCGGACCACACCCGCTCGGAGCAGTGCTACAGAGACGTGTCCGATCTGAAGGTAGGGCGGGGGCAGGCAGTGCTGGGAGCCAAGGGGGAGGCTCCTGGGGAGTGGCAGAGGGAAGCTCGGTTGGGAAGACCTTCCCAGGGCACGGGCGAGCTTGTGTGCAGTGTGCTGAGAGAGATAAGGGCGCACACAAGCAGAAACAATACCCTTTTTGTTGTTGCTGGCTGTTTTTCCTGTGCTTGTTTGAGCTTTCTGGAAAGCAGAGAGCCTCCTGGCATCAGAGCTAATCTAGGCGGCTTTTCTTCTCATCTGCTGTCAGCTCTTCAGGTTCAACTCCCAAATCCATTCGCTTAATCCAGACACAGTGGTAGCACCAGGCTGTAGCAAGGTGAAGATGGGGTAACGGTTAGCGACTGCTGGAGATAATGTGTAACCAACTGTCCTCCCGAAGGCTTCACCAGGGACTGTCAGTGCAGTCCGCAAGTCTGCAGGCTGTCTGGCTGGCTGGCTGGCTCTCTGGATTCCACTGACTTGTGATCGGCCTCCCACCGAATGGCTGGTGGCTGGGGCAGCTCAGCTGTCCTTCGGTGTTGCCACTGAACCGTTTGCAGGCCAGAGTGGTGCGTCCCCCTTGCAAGGGCTGTGTGGAAGAGGAAGCTGGAGTGTATAAAAAGAAACCTCAACTCATGGCTGCTGCTATCCCATTGGCCAGAATAACATGTGGCTGAGCCCAGAGAGCATGAGTGTGTCCAAGGGGAGGAATGAAGAACTGACCCTGGCTGTTAAGAGAGCAAGGGTTGGAGCACAGGTCTGCCTGCCGCCCACTGTGTTTGCCTCTGGCTGTTACCAGGCCAGGAGTAGATGCACGTTTATTCCATTGGAAAGTTCTAGCAAGTGCCCGTGTGTGACACTGCAATAACAATAACTACAACTTTTAAAAAGGAAAAAGAACTGCGTATCTTTCTTTCTTGATGAGTTAGTCTCTTCTAGTGGGCTCCTCTGACCCATGTTCATGTAACCTGCTCTGCTCTATTTGCAGTCATAGTGCCCACTGAATTTGGTATTTTGCCTTCCTTTTTTTATTTTACTCATTTATTTGAAAGTTAGAGTTACACAGAAAGAGAAGGAGAGGCAGAGAGAGAGAGATCTTCCATCCACTGGTTCACTCCCCAGTTGGCGGCAATGGCCAGTACTACGCCAATCCAAATCCAGGAGCTTCTTCTGGGTCTCCCACGCGGGTGCAGGGGCCCATGGACTTGGGTCATCTTCCACTGCTTTCCCAGGCCATAGCAGAGAGCTGAATCGGAAGTGGAGCAGCCGGGACTCAAACCAGCACCCATATGGGATGCCGGCACTGCAGGTGGTGGTTTAACCCGCTACGCCACAGCGCCTGCCCCTCCATTTGTTTTACAGCATGAGCATTTTCTGGGTCAGCCACATGGTGGTAAGAAGCATCTTACCCCAGTTACATCAGAATCCATTACTTAGCCAGCCTAATGTTGGCTGTTTTCATATTTTCACTAATATAAATTGTGTTCTAGTGGACAGCTTTGTCCATAAAGCTCTTTTCTTCCTTCAAAATTTTTCTGTGGCTTCCCTTCCCAGGAGTAAAACCATAAAGTCAGAGGGAAAGAACATTTTTGTTTATTTTATTACACGCAATGTTCACAGCAAAATATTAGAAAATGTTAAGATAGAACTGTGTACTGTTCCTGCTTCTTGCAGCTTTTGCTTTTTTTAAGATTTATTTTATTTATTTGAAAGACAGAGTTACAGAGAGAGGTAGAGACGAGACAGAGAGAGTTCTTCTGTTTGCTGGTTTACTTCCCAAATGGCCGCAATGGCCAGAACTGAGCCAATCCACCAGAAGCCAGGAGCTTCCTCCAGGTCTCCCCTATGGGTGCAGGAGCCCAAGGACTTCCACTGCTTTCCCATGCACATTAGCAGAGAGCTGGATCAGAAGACGAGCAGCCAGGACTCGAACTGGTGCCCATATGGGATACCGGCACTGCAGGCCTAGGGCTTTAACCCACTGCTCCACAGTGCTGGCCCTGTCTGCTGCTTCTCTTTATCCTGGAGTTGTCTAGATTTCAGGAAAATAGATGAAATAGACAGGAGTATTTAAAGATTGTGGTGGACTAAGAAGCTTGGAGAGTAGGAATAGAAAACGCACCCTGCTTAAAAAAAAAAAAAAAAAAAAAAAAAAAAAAAAAAAAAAAAGACTCCTGCCACTGCTGGCTAGAAACTTTAAAATGTTGTGAGACTTGCAGATCCATGGTGGGGGGAGCCCAGTGTAAAGATAGGTGTGGTGTGGTGAGCACTAGATTTCATCTGTGTTTCTGGTTCCAGGCAAATCATTTTAAAAACAAACAAATAATTCAAGAAAAACAAAGAATGAAATCATGAAAAGTAGAGGAAATAGCATGAAATCAAACTGATCGAAATAAGTCCAGATATACCATCAATCAAATACATGCAAACTAACTTTGGCACTGCAAAGACAGATTGTCAGGTTCAATAGAAAATGGAATCCAGCATGGAATAACTAACTTCACAACCTGAAAAGGTCGACAGTAGAATTACAGAGAAAGACCACCAGACCGAAGCTGGTAGGACTAAGCTGACATCAGACAAAGCACAGGTAGGGATAGAGACGGTCACCGTTTAAAAGTTCACCAAGAAGATGCAAGAATTCTAATCTGTGCTCTGCAGTAGCATGTGTATTTATAAATATGTATATAGATGCATAAATATTTATACACACACAGCTCCAGAGGGAACTCCCGAGAGAAGTGGACAGACTACTTTCATAGTGGAATAATTCAACATAGCCTTTTCAAAGATTGAGTGATCAGTCAAAACTTGATAAACATATGGACGATCTGAACTGTACAGTTAGCACACTTGATTTATTGGGTAAATAAAGAACCTTGCACCTAACACTTAAAGAATACACATCCTTCTCAAGGTCACATGGAGTGTTTATGAAAGTGTACCATGTACTAGACCATAAAGCAAATAGCGCAGTACATTTTGAAGAATCTATATTATACCATAGTTTTCTGAACAAGTATAATTAAATTGTAAGACAATAACAGAAAGATTTAAAACACCTACTTGATTAAAATGGAGGACTCATTGTTCTAAATAGAAATCATAATTGAAACTGGAAACTATTTTGATTAAATGAAAATTAAAATTATACATGTCAAAATTTAGTGTGATTAGCAAACATTAGGGAAATATATAGCCTGAAATGTTTACATTATAAAGTAGAAAGGCTAAAAATTCATAAACCAAGTTTACAACTTAAGATGATAGATAAAGAGCATTAGAACAAATTCAAGGAAAATAAAGATAGGCCATAAAGAAGATAAGTGCAGAAATTGATAAACAAATTGTACAATAAAATCACAAGTTGGTTGGAAATGGGCTGATAAAATAGACAAAACCGTGGAAGGATTTACCAAGAAAAAGAGAGAAATCACTGAGAAATTAAGGGGGCACGTGAGTCTAGATTCATTTCTTCATATCTTTCTGAGCCAGTGGTTCTTCTGAGTTCCAGATATACAGCAAAAGTTAAAGCAAACCGTCTGTCAGTTCATGGCACTTTCCATGCATAGCTAAAGCAGAATCCTAGACCATAATACATGGGTACTTCAAAGTTGTGGAGGGGCAGGCATTTGGCCGAGCAGTTAAGATGCTGATTGGGACACCCCCCACCCCATATTAGAGGGCCTGGGTTTGAGTCCCTGCCTCTGCGCTAATTCCAGTTTCCTGCTAATGTGTACCCTGAGAGGCAAGTAACTGGATCCCTGCTGCCCAGGAAGGAGACCAGGATCGATTTCTTGGTTCTCAACTTTAGCCTGGCCTAGCCTGGCTACTGGAGGCATTTTAGGGAGCGAACCAGCAGATGGGAACGCCCTCTGTCTATCTCTTTCTGGGTCTCTCTGCCTCACAAATAAATAAACATAAATAGATTAAACAAAATTTTTTTAATGTTTGTGGAAACGAATTAAAAGATGTTTATTTTTGTGCAAATAAATAAATTTTGAAATCCATGGATATGGGGAGTTTTCTGAAAGCTTATGAAAAACATATGTTGTAGAAAAACTATGCATCAATTTGAATATTTTTTGCACCAACTTACCTTTTTTATATATAAATTTTTATTTATTGATTAGAGAGAGTTCCCATCAAGTGGTTCACTCTCCAAATGCACCCAATGGCCAAGGCTGGGCCACCCAGGGATTCAGTCCAGGTCTCCCATGTGAGCAGTAGAGACCCAACAACTTGAACCCTCACCTGCTGCCCGGGGTCTGTGTTAAAGGAAGCTGGGGTCAGGAGTGGCACCGAGAATCCAGCCCAGGGACTCCGATGTGGGATGGGAGCCTCTCCACCAGTGTTTCAGCAGCTAGACCAAATACCCACCCCTAAAGGATCTTTGAATTCTCTCCACAAACTGCTTTGAGGTGTGACAATAGAATACATGAAAACATTATATCAATAAATTTGAAAGTGTCTATGAAATCGATGCATTCCCAGAAGTGTATAATTTATCACAACTGACTTCAGAGAGAAATAGAATGTCTGGATTATCCCCTAGCCATTAAATGTTCTTTATGTAGAAACAGCATCCCTACATGGTAAATAGAGTTTGTTTTAAGATTTTTTTATTTGAAAGGCAGAGTTACAGAGAGAGGAAGGGACAAACAGAGAGAGAGGTCTTCTATCCGCTGGTTCACTCCCCAGCTGGAGGTGGTCCAAGCTGAAGCCAGGAAGCTGGAACTCCATACAGGGCTCCCATGTGGGTGGCAGAGGCTGAAGCATTGGGGCCGTCCTCTGACGCTCCCCCTCTTCGCAGAGGAACGACACAGGACCCTGCGCTGTTCTTTTGTCTGCTCGGCCCTCCCCGGGTTTGCTGTTGGTTCTTCCCGGGTTGGCTACCGATCCTTCCACCTCCGTGGAAGGGCGGTGCCCCCTGCCACTTTCCCCACTTCCGCGGGGGAGCGGCACACCGCCGGCCGGCTCTCTCGGGGGCTGCTCAGATGTTC